TGCAAGCAGGCCAAGGGTTTAGCTGTACACCGTCTAGGTGTTGCTAAGCTTCCTGTACTGAATATCATAGTCTATTGCCTTAATCAATATAGTCAACTCTAAAATACCACATATATGCAATGGCATGATAATATTATTGTGACAAGTGGGGTATTCACCTGGTGTTTCCAGAAATTAGACGTAGATGCAGCCAAAATCGACGAAGGCCACTTTCGAGGGTCGTTTTTCCATACGTCTGCAGGCAGTCAGTAAGGGCAATCCGACAACCCACACAGCTCTAGTTTATGCTGGTAACGACCTAGAGCACACCCCTCAAGCCCAGAGATGTAATTCGAAGACATGCAGCGATTTCTTCGGTCGTTAATTCAGAAAAAAAACCTAGTGCGCTCTGCCTGGCTACGTTAGCTAGCTGTTTATATTTGTACGTCCAGGATATTTGCACCTCCATGAAAATGGCGTATTATATATATATATATATATGGCGCGTATTGCATTGTGGGTAGCTCGTGACGTCACTGTGTGTGAAAGAATCATTTTATAATATGTTTCTTAACCTCTTAAACCCGCCCTTATATTTATATAAGTATCATCACTGTAGGACACAAACTCACTGAGCGAGCAGCCAGAACAGAGCAAGAAAACAACAACAGTGTTCTAAAGCATAACAATAATTATGTCTTACCGTTGCTGTTTTGTGATCAAAAGTCGTGTTCAACGGAATAAAAACGATGCTCAAGGTTAATCCAATGTCTCTTAGTCACTTTAGAATTGTTCCTGATAATCCATCATTACATTCATGGCCGCATCGTAGGTATAAAGTTTTGCAGTCCGGGTTTAGGTTTCTCACGTGCTGTTTACGCAAGCCTCTCTCTCCTTGACGTAAGTGTAAAGCGGGATTTACTAACCCCCCCTCGATTCTATTGGCTCCAAAGTTTCAAAAAAGGTGTCAATCACCCAAATCGACCTATGGGTTCCAGAGATAGGATCCTGCGTAGTATGAATAATGCCAGCAGCGGCTGCTTTACGCACAGATAGCAGAAGCAGCCGCACAACCGCTCCAGCACAGCAGCAACGAACACAGCGAACAGAGAACACAGCGAACAGAGACAACAGCAGGCAACCCTGATTAGGAACTTCAGGAAAGGTATGTACTCTCTCTGTTTGTATCTATTAGTTGTGTATTTGGTGTAATCTATAGTAATTCCACACTCGCAAAATACAAAATGGACGCCGCTTTGTTGTTGTAGCGTTATCGTTCCGTGAGAAACTAAAACAATGGCAACATCATGTTGGTGAACGTATAAATAGATTAATTGTATTTCGTGACTATAACACGGCAGTATATAAATAAAGCTGTATTGTATATCAACCCAGTATATATATATATATATATATATACTGTTATTCCACACACGCCAAATGGATGCTGTTTTGTAGTTCTACAGACATTGACTATTAGCAGATTATAAATAAAGCTGTATTGTATATCAATATATATATATATACTATAGCGTGTGTGAAATAACAGTATATATATATATATATATACTATAGCGTGTATGAAATAACAGTATATATATATATGTATACGGTTATTTCACACACGCTATAGTATATATATATATATGAAATAACAGTATACACACATATATATATATATATATATATGTATACTGATTTCACACACGCTAAATGGAGGAATTATTTCTGATTTGAGTTACATTTTTGAAAGAATAATCCAGTGAAGTAATCAAAGTTTTTTCCACATTTGTTTTCACAGTGATGAAGACAAGTATTAAATGGCTTCTGGATCACAGCCATCAACATCTGCCTCATCCGAGCTACGACGTGCATCAGATCAGCATACAGTTGCCCCAGAGCCATCAACATCCAAGCTACGCCGGACGTCTGCACCAGTACTAACTCAGCCTCCCTCTGCATCTTCTGATTCAGTGGACAGACTGTCAGGAGGAAAGTGAAACGGGCTGGTGTGTGGAAGACTAAGGTTGTTACCGTTCCTGACGCTGTGGTGGACTACAACAGAAGCATGGGCTGCGTGGATGTGTCCGATGCTTTGATTGGGTACTACAGTGTTCACCACAAAACCATGAAATGGTACAAGACCTTTTTTTTACCATTTTCTGGACATTGCAGTGGTGAACAGCTTCCTTCTCCACAAGGAGCTGCACAAGATGAGGGGTGGCAGGACGAAGCCACACACCCAGAAGTCCTTCAGGGAGCAGCTTGCTGCAGACATGAGGGGTGAAGTCCCTGCAGCAGACCACCACCACCACTTTTTTTAAAAACACTTGTATTTGGGTGGAATGATTACCTGTAGTGATAATACAATTATTTTTACAATATGGTACCTGAAAAAGGTCAAATGGCACTGATGGTATCCAAATGTGCCCAAATGTGCCCAAAGGTCAGTCCGCCTGGACTACTTTTAGCTAAACCTCTCTAAAAAGGTCAAATTTAACTTGTTTTGCCTCAATCTTGATACAGGGTACTTATTATATGTTATACTTTGGATTCCTAAAGCTTTTAGTCTACTATCCCATCATTCAAGGGTAGTTTTCACTATAAGTAATGGGTTTTTTTTAGGCGGGGGTAAGAATTTACCTTTTTTTACTATGTTCCATCTGAATTTACTCAGACTGAGAAATATCTATATTGATTCTGATACTTCTACATCCAACTCACAGATGCTTTGCTTTGATAAAATCAATTATTCATATAACCCTTTTAGAAGTTAAGTTATAGTCATTTGTTTTGGGCATAGCATTTTCGAGCCTGAAACCTTAAAAACAGGCTCAGGGCTTAAGAGGTTAAGTCTTTAATTTTTGTAAAGCACTTGCCTTGTGTTGAAAGGTGCTAGCCCCACCATGAACAATTATGTTAAAGTAAAAAAAGTCCGCCAACTCGCGCTGAGTACATTTCACAGACAGCAGTTAGTAAGATTGATTTCAGTAACCACTTGTCTGGAAATGTCGAAGACTAGAAACGGTTTTGAAAACGTTTGTCACGTAGTGATCGTCTTCGCAATAAAACATCTTTGCTAATGTCTTCTGGTCAATCAGAATCATGATAACGGCGTGGTGTTGTTGCAGAATACTGCAACTGCGAGAATACTTTTGCGGTAGAACTTCTCTTTATACATCCATGGATACAACATTACGTGTTGATAGAAATCAACACGTAATGAAATAAGACCCCACGGTTTGATGATTGATAGGTGTGTGGGCTGTCTTTCATTTTGACACACAGAACAATGGGGACTATCCACCCTTATCCACAATGTAAAGTCATTCACACAGCCTCTTCCCTCTTCCCTCTGTGAGGAGCAGCAGGTTCAGCTTTCAGAACAAAGTAACAAAAAAGGCATTCATTTATTTTTATTTATTTTTTCTTCTCAAGAGAGTATCAGAATCAGAATGTGTATTTTATGTTAGTATTTCAAAAAATCTCCTGGGGGAGAATCCCCCCAGACCCCCCTGCAGGGGTTGGGTTTTCAGCATGTCAACTTTTTCACCTGTGGGGAAATTGCAGGATTGGCTCCAGGTCGCCCTTTTATTTACTACAAGACAAATGTGCCTTTTTATTTCATACAGTTCAATTTGGATTGAGACAGGGAAATAATGTAAACCTCACGCGTGGCGTTTCACTGTCAAGGGGGGCGATACAGCGTCACATTGCAAATACTGACTTGATCCCTACCACTGTATGGGTTAGCCCTACCATAGATTACCCAACACAAATACTCTGGAGCCGCCACTGGGCGCCTTTCAAAGCTCTCAAGGACACCTTGCATAATTAAAAACAAGCAACAAAGAAGATCAAATAGAAATTCGAGACTTAAAAAAGAAAGACTTAAAAACAACAATCAGTTTAGAGGAATTATGATATAGAATATGCCAGTTTAAAAAGGTGGGTTTTCAGGCAGGATTTGAAGGTTGAGAGTGAGTCCACATTGCGGATGTCTTGTGGGAGAGAGTTCCAGAGATGGGGGGGGGGCAGAGGGGCTGAAGGCTCTTGACCCCATGGTGGTCAGGCGGGCAGAAGGTACAGTGAGTTGGAAGGCAGAGGAGGATCGGAGAGCACGAGAGGGAGTGTAGGTGTGAAGGAGTTCAGAGAGATATGGAGTTGTGTGAAGGGCCTCGAAGGTGAGGAGCAACATTTTGAAGTCGATGCGGTATTTAACGGGGAGCAAATGGAGTTGATGAAGAACCGGAGTGATATGAATGATCAATGGAAGGAGTTCTGGTATTGATATGGGCGGCTGAGTTTTGGACCAGTTGGAGCTTACGCAGAGATTTGTGAGGAAGACCAGAGAGGATGGAGTTGCAATAATCAATACGGGATGTAACAAGGGCATGGATGAGAATGGCGGTGCTGTTGGGTGTGAGTGACGGCGGAGACGGTTAATATTGCGGAGGTGGAAGTAGGCAGATCGAGTAATGTTGTTGATGTGAGCTTCAAAAGATAGGGTGCTGTCGAGGATGACACCCAGACTCTTAACATGGGGGGAGGGGGGGACTGTGGAGTTGTCAATGGTAAGGAAGAATTTGTCAGTTTTGGAGTGGACTTGGAGCCAACTAAAAGAACCTCGGTTTTATCACTGTTTAGTTTGAGAAAATTGAATGAGAACCAGGATTTGATTTCCAGTAAGCAGTCGGAAAGGGTAGTGGGGGGAGAGTGGAAGTGGGTTTGGTGGAAAAATAGAGCTGGGTGTCATCCGCGTAACAGTGGAATTGGATTGCGTATTTTCTGATGATATGGCAGAGAGATGATAAATAGGTGCGACATGAGAGGGAGGGGAGTCCGTGGAGGAAGTTCTTGATGTATCTACATTTCACAAATCACCTATAATGGTGAACCAAAAGGACCTTCTGAAAATGTATGGAAGAAGCTGGATCAACAAATCACAGGAACACTTTGTCCAGGTAATTAGCTTCAATTTTGGTTTGGGAAACGTACTACTACTGAGGAAATGTCCTCACCTGGATTCTATGGCACTTTCCACAGACAGAGGGCAGTAGATCCTGTCGTAGGTCGTCTCCTGTGGACCAGAAAGTTAATCAGTGTTCTCACATTCAGACATATGGATGTTAACTCAACACGAGGCATGTCTGATCCATGAGGGAGACTCACTGTGACTCTGTGAGTGATGACAGTCTGCAAGGCCTCAGAAGAAATCTGCAACAGAGAGCCGACCCTCCTGGCCTCCGTCTCGCTGAAGATCCGCGCCACCTCAAATGACTCGCTCTGAAGCAGAAATGATGTATAGCCGCGTTCACACCGCAGTACTTTTCCCACTTTAGTTCCGATATAGTTCCAAAATGTCGCGTTCATACCAAAAAGAGCCGGAACTAAAATTTGTTCATGAGAACCTTTTTACCCCCTTTTCCGTCAGTTTTCAGTCCCTTCTAGAGAGCAGGTACTTTTGTGGGAGAAAAAGGTTCCTATGTCTGATTGGCTGGGCGGATTGCAAACCACGCCCCGTAAAACTCCCAAAAATTTTGTGAAGCCGCCATTTTATTTGCTCGCATTAGCATTATTAGCATTATTAGCATTAGCCCGGCGCACCAACGCAGAGAGACTAACTTATGGCAACACAAAAGAAAACATGGGAGCGGTGGAGTGATGTGTCGGCGTTCTGGCGATTTACTCGGAAGCTGCTGGGACTCCCAGCAGCTTCTACTGAAGCCAGTCCCCAACTCCGGGGACTTCGGGCCGGGGACTTTGGGCGGGCAGTATACGCCGTGAAGTGGTTTGCGGCCTGCCAGTAAACCCAAGCAGATGAAGAATAAGTGACGTCAGCGGCTTCCTTGCCTACTCCTCCCCCAGGGACTGTTATTCCGGTGTGAACGCGATCTGTTCATGAGAACTAAAGAGTTCTGATGAACCTTTGTGGGAAAAGTACTGCGGTGTGAACGCGCCTCCCCCCCGCCGCACGCACACACACACACACAAGCACGCACACACGCACGCACACACACACGCATGCACACACGCACGCACACACACACACGCACACACACACACACCTCGTAGGAGCTGAAGCAGACGTTGCCGAGGTGCAGGATGGAGGACAGGATGGCCCAGATGGTGGAGATCTGGTCAGCGTGCAGGCCGATGGTCTCAAAGCACTGAAGCATCAGCTGGAAGTCCTGTTTGTCCTGCTTACCCTTCAGCTCACATGCACCACCCTGGAGGAGAAATTAAATATGGGACATGTATATCGATAGGAAAACATGAGATTACAAACAGCAGAGATGGAGAATAGTTTCTGGATGAGTGTGGTACTTGGTTCAGGTAGTAGTAGGTCTCGGCTCCTTGCAGGTAGAGCTCCTGTTTGTCCCAGTCGTTCATCCCCGCCAGCAGCTCATAGAACACGTGGAAGTTCCTCTCCTCATGGGCCTGCAGGGGAGGGTAACAGAACGGAGGACCTTCAATAAACAACTGCAGTAAACCACACACAAATCTGTGGTTGTGTTGTTTACTTATTTACACTCCAACCCATTGGAAAGAATGTTGAAATGAAATGAAATTAGAGAAAAGGTAACCATATGCTTTCTGAAAACAGCCCTGGGGCCTGATTTATAAAGGGATATACGCTCAAAAAATGGCGTACGCCAGTTTCTACACAATGTTTGCGATTTATAAAATACTAACTTGACGGGAAAACGTGCGGTCCTCCACGCAAACTCTAACCCATGCGTACGCACTAAGCACAAACACGGGAGAGACGAGAAACTGCGACACCGTTGGCAGAAGGAAGAATAGAGAGAAATATGTGGAAATAATACCATAAATAAAATGTTACCTCTCATTTATCATATATGAAGAATTCATTTTCAAACATTGATTTAAGCCAATCTTAAAATGATTAAACAAACACCTGTTTGAGACTCCTCAGTGCACACAAACACATAACTTGGAGAAATAAATAAATACGGATATGTTATTTAAAACCACCTCGAATATGTTGTGTTAATGTTATGAAATGTTTTCTCATAAATGATGCGGTTTTGCATTTCTATAGGTTGTACGAGCATGGTTTTATATACTACCATGTTTAATCGTGTTTTATGCCGTTTGCTAAGACTTGATAAGTCGCTCATAAAACACAGGAGGTATGGAAGCTAAGAACACCATATGTGGTAAATTGTACAGCTAATATAACACAACACATTAGTTGTATTTCCTTTAACTGGTGGATATAGGGTTGCTGCGGGGCGGAGGGGGGGGGGGGGTTGAGACGCACAGGCTGCAGTGGAGACGCTGCACACAGCTGATCGACAGCTGGGACACAAACCACCAAATACAAAAACATAATTCAGATCCAGTCGTCATGACTCCACTCCGGAGGGATTCCCCGATCAGGTCTTACAGTTTCTCATCAAGGGGGTGTCTCCTGTCCCCGGTACAAACACACTGCCTGAGGACGAAGGTTAGGCTATGTGTATTTTTTTTGTCATGAACCTTTTTCGGACCACTTATTTATTTGTTTTGGTGACGATCCGACCTCCATGCTGCTACTCTGGTTCAAACTGCATCCACCAAACAATATGATTTATCTCGACCTCCCCAAAAGAACCAAAATCTGACACGGTGTGAGATGTCTTTTTTAGCTGTTCTGTCGTCATTTCCTGCGATCTTCTTCATGCAGTCAGTCAGAATGAATGAATGGGCGTTTCTTTGACTATTTATAGGCAAATATGGGCGTTACGTGAAGCCCACAAAAGCTGCACCACATTTCAAGTCGATTGTGATTTATAAAGGGAAACCGGCGTAGGAAGTGCCGTACGCACTTTCCTCGCCGGTACGCAATGTTTGGTGAATCGGAAAATGTCTGTACCTATTTTTTGGATTTCTACTACGTAAGCAACCTTCCCACGTGAATCCTACGCACGGCGTTATAAATGAGGCCCCTGGTCTATGGTGTCGGCCAGTCTGAAGCCACCCCATTCATCACATATCAGGCAGACACATTTAATGGGGCTATTACTTTTTGAAGCCATAACATTGTTATGCATGCTTTGGAATAATACGTACACTGTAGCACTGTCACTATAAACCTGTGCATAGACTCACTTATATGACATTTACTCAAGTCAAGCAAATGGCATATAAATGTAACATCATGACTCCTCCATGATGTCTGTTTGAGCACACAGCACACATCAGTCAATGTCCTCACCTGAAATACAACCCTGGACTTCTCCAGGAGATATTTGGACAACGAGGTTCCCACAACAACGCCACTGTCAACCAAGATGAGAGACGGACGACACATCAAAAAAGAACTCACCCAATGTCTTCAGGGTGATAACAAAGGAACATGAAAAGATGTGTCTACCATCAGGGGAACTCACTGGAGAATGTGGATGTGGAGGTACTTGCCGAAGCGGCTGGAGTTGTTGTTGAGGATCGTCTTGGCATTCCCGAAACTCTCCAGGATGGGAAAGACCTCCATGGGCTGGAGGAGATAGAAATATATCAAATACAAAACGGGTGGAAGACTAAAGGATACACGGGCCAAACTTTACATTTAATTAAAGTGTTTTCTTTTCTAGTTTTCCTCAGATTCGTACCTGTCGCAGGTTGTTGTTCCTGCCCTGGTACATGGAGCTGAGGTAGTGTACTATCAGCTTGGTAGCTTCAGTCTTCCCTGAACCACTCTGGCCACTGCACAATAATTAAGATTACTATGAATATGTCACAGCTTAAAAATTAGGTGAAATCGGCTTATTGTTTATTGTATACTATGTACCATGAAATATGACTCAACGTGTACAGTGATGCTGGCAGATCAGTGCTGAGCTAAACCCTGACATGAACATGATCACAATGACTTTAACATTAGCATGCTGATGTTGGGCAGGGGTTAAAAAAAACCTGTTGGTGTGTATGGTGGAATCCTTCTTCATGTATTATATCTCTGCCTTTAAGGAAGGAATGAACATGCACATCTTTATATTACAATTTAAACAGGCATATAGTTTCATTTTTCAAAACGCTAAGTCATTTCCTTAAACGGACCACTGTATATCGGGTAATGATAACTGGAACAGGAGGATATAGAGCATTTTTGGGACTGTTATCAGTGGTAAATCCACATTTGGTTCATTTGGCAGTAGGACAGTGTACAGTGTGTGTTCATGGTGATGAAGGGAGATGTCACCTTGTAAATCAGAGTGGCTCATTGATGTGTTTAAAAGATTTGTTAACAACAATAGAGCTCTGTGGCACAGAGAAAAAGAATACTTGCTACCAGCCTGGACAGTGTACAGTATGTGTGTGTCTGTGGAAATGTTGTGACCTCAGTGCAGCTACATCAAAGTCAACCGTCACCATGCTTTACAGGTGTGTATTTGAGATCAAATGAAGACAAAATTAGTTTGAAGATAGGTGAGGTTTCAGCAAGGCTGCCAGAAGGAGGGGGGGGGGGGGGTGTAGCAGGGAAGGGGCCATTGGCTTCCATACATCCCTGGCCTGATTTGGCCATGTCTGTGGTATAGGATCCCTTAGTTGGATAGTCTCATGTTATTACATGCATTCATTGATGTTTTGATATTTTTATTGCATGTGGCTGGCCATAAGACAACTATCAAACATAAACAGCCTAAATATTTATAATATGTCTCTGTATTATAGAGGTTCGGAAAGAGCAGGTTTTAAAGTTTAAACCCCAGGTTTAAACTTTAAAGGTCAAACCGAGAATTGTGTGTAAACCTCATTGAAATAAATGATACATTATGATATTGGTGTCCTCGTCAGTACCTGATGATGATGCACTGCTCCTGTGTGGAGGCCTGAGACTGACTGAAAGCAGCGTCAGCTATGGCATACACATGGCTGAAGCATAGAACAACACAGGGTCAAACATTAGGACAGAATAACGTCAGGCAGACGTTCCGATGGGTTCAAACCTTTGATGAGAAACATTCTGATAGCTCTAATTGAAATGAAAATGAAACAAAGAAAGTGGATGCACACAGTGTGGGAATGGTCTGCTCACGGGGGGTTTCTCTGCTGCTCTTTGCCCTCGTACTTGAGTCTCAGCTCCTCTGTGTAGATGGGCCTTGAAGGGGTTAATGGACAGCATCATGTTGCCAATATAAGTCTGGGGAAAAGAAAAGGACATTCGGATAATAAACACTAAAGCATTTTTGTTAGGGCCGGGACTTTAACGCGTTAATTAAGATTAATTAATTACACAAAAATTAACGCATTTTAATCGCACTTATTTTTGCACCGCGGAACGTTTCTCACTGGATGAGTTGCAGGCGTACCGATTATACTAGAGCACCAACTAACGTTCATGACTTCAGACAACAACAAACCACAGTGAACAACAGTGGGAAATGTTGTTTTAAAAAACGGACGGATGGAAGTGTCGATAAGAGCACGGTTGTGTGCAAATTATGCAAAAAGGAATTCGCATATCACCGCAGCACATCAAGCCTCAAGTATCACCTCAATGCAAAACATATAGCAGCTAGCGTGGAAGCTAGCGTGGACGTTAGCCTCTTTTATCGCGTTCACACCAAAAAGAGCCGGTACTACAAATTAGTTCATGAGAACCTTTTTACCCCCACGAAAGTCCCTGCTAGAGAGCAGAGAGCTGCTAGAGAGCAGGGACTTTCGTGCGGCTCTCTTGTGAGAAATAGCTATATTTCTGATTGGCTGGGCGGATTGCAAACCACGCCCCGTAAAACTCCCAAAAAGTTTTGTGAAGCCGCCATTTTATTATCCTCGCATTAGCATTATTAGCATTAGCCCAGCGCAGAAACGCAGAGAGATTAACTTATGGCAACACAAAATAAAACATGGGAGCGGTGGAGATGAGGAGGTGTCGGCGTTCTGGCGATTTACTCGGAAGGCTGCTGGGACTCCCAGCAGCTTCTACTGAAGCCAGTCCCCAACTCCGGGGACTTCCGACCGGGGACTCCGGGTGGCAGTATACGCCGTGAAGTGGTTTGCGGCCTGCCAGTAAACCCAAAGCAGAAGAAGAAGAAGTGACGTCAGTGGCTTCATTTGCCTAATCCTCCCCCAGGTTCAAAGAGTTCTCATGAACTAAATTCTCATGAACCTTTGTGGGAAAAGTACTGCGGTGTGAATGCGCCTAATGGTATACTAAAATCCATGTGAAAAAAATTGCTTCTCACTGTTCTCAGGTCAAATATTTATATGTGATTAAAAATGCGATTAATTTCGATTAATTAATTACAAAGCCTCTAATTAATTAGATTAATTTTTTTAATCGAGTCCCGCCCTAATATTGTTGTACCGTTTAGGGCGGGGGCGGGGGGCGGGGGGGGGGGGGGGGGGGGACATCTGAAACAGATATTTATCTCTGATTTAATTTGGTTGTTGCTTTTTACAATATCGTATCCCCCTCACTAGTTTTTTTGTGCAGATTTCCACTATGTCTCATTGACCTTCTCAGTTGATGGAATTGTTTGTTTTTTTAGCTCACTTTATTCTGTGTATTTCTAATATATTTAAAGGTATTATTTTGAAAAACCTCTTTATTCTAAATGTGTTGTTGCAGTATGAAAGTATTTCACACATATAATGTAGCATTAAGCCTTTGAGGTGTTTGAGATCATAGTGTGAGGACAGTAACTCACATAGATTACAGTCACGGTGGAACCTCTTCTTCAGATTGAGAAGCACGGAGCTCTCACACACCTCCCTAAGAGACAGGTTCAAACAGTGCATATTTATACTGAAGGAACTGTGTGGTGTGTGTGTGTGTGTGTGTGTGTGTGGTGTGTGTGTGTGTGTGTGTGTGTGTAGTGTGTGTGTGTGTGTGTGTGTGTGTGTGTGTGTGTGTGTGTGTGTGGTGTGTGTGTGTGTGTGTGTGTGTGTGTTGTGTGTGTGTTGTGTGTGTGTGTGTGAGAGAGGGGGAGAAACTCACTCTAGCTGGGACAGGTCCTCCACCTCATCCACCTCTACAGAGGTTTTGCTGCCAGGCATCACCACCTACAAAATGCAGACATTGAGAAGCACTGAGGATATAAATATTAAAGCTCACCACGTCCATTTTAAACCCTCCCTTCAGTCAGTAACCATGAACTTCAGATAACTTCGCCCTTTCCTTCTGTCCACAGCCATCTCTAGTCTGGATCAAATGAAATGAAGTAATGATCCTTCACCAGAGAGGGTCCTTTATGTTTTAAGAAGTGTTTTGTTTGTTCTGCCTATGGTCCTCTCCACACCTGACTTTTCCACAGCAGGTAACCAATCTTTCGCAGCAGTTCAGCAGTGATAGCTGATATACTACAATCTCATAGGTGTGTGTTATGCTCTATTGTATCAGCACAGACCAGGAAATAAATTAACCAGCAAGTCTTTTATGTCCTTTTGTCTTCTCTGCACACCGCCTAAAAGTGATGAGGTAGACTGATATGCTGACATTCTGACCATTAGACATAAGACAACAATGTTTAACTTTTCTGAATTCAAGGGAATGTTGTCTTATGTTTTTGTTTTTTTACGCAAAATCCTTTTTGTTAGATTCATTTTTTTTTCTTTCCGCTGTTAACTGGCTGTTTTGGTAAAAAAAAAAAGCTCCCAAAGTTATACTAGGGCATTGCTCAAGAGCTGATACTGGGAGTTCCAGGTAAGGGTTGCCGGCAGTGCTGTCAATAAAGATTGGTTAGGCTGATGTATTGTAGTAGAACAATAAAATAGACTACAACAGTTTACAACTAAATGTATATCAATTAGGACAAGCCTTTAGACCTGTCCTTCAGTAGATCTTTAAAATGCCCAACTTTACAGCAGAAATAAACATGTTTACAGAACCAATGATAACATTCTAATGTCATCTTATTATGTTAGCTCTAATTAGCATGTAGCCTAGCAGGGCTCGTAACTTGGCTTGTTAGCTTTACACATGTACTACAAACTCTAAGTTGGCTGTTCTTTTTTGAATACATTTTTAAATAAGGCTGCTAAAGTTTTCCCAATTAACTGTTACACAACTACTGATGCAGGGGCTGCCAACATTTGAAGTTCAGCTTGGAGTGAGCAGAGGTACAGTGCTATTTTTAAGTATTTTTTTAAAATATGGATATTTTACAAATCACTCTCCCCTTTAAACTGTATTCTTGTTTTACTGTCATAGTATTTCATAACTGTTTTTCATGTATTCTCATAAATGGTGACCAAACCGTTTGAGACCCACTGAGATAACTAGACTAAAGTTAACTATCTAAACAGAGTCCCTTACCTCACTGAGCTGTAGTTATCTCTCAGTCTGACTGACAGGAGAGAGCTCTCCCTCTCTTGTTTTAGAAACAGCTTCTAATATCCGTTAGCGCAGCTAGCTAACCAGATGCTAACAACACAATGCAAATAGTGAGTTTGGTAGAAAATATACTGTATAATAGTAAAGCTATTGAAGATGATGCCATATTTATTGAAGATTTACATTATAAATATTCCCCAAAATTATTCAAAAGCATATTCTTCAAAACTCTCTGCTGTAGTATGACACACAGGAGACGATTGATGGGTGTAGTGAGTTTGGTAGTAATAAGCTGTATAATAGTGATTGAATATTATTGCATTCTCTTTTCTCGGAGTTGCACTTTGCAGACGGTCCCTGAGCACTCGTTTCTTCTCCGGCTGCAGATAGAGACCAATGTAATGTGTCCAGCTCGGAGGACGGCGCGTATTGGCTTTTTCGAATCAAAATGTGATTGTAGTTCGTTGTCAACCTTACCACGGTACTTAGGAGACGTCATTTGTGTCTGAATAACGTTTTGTTCATGAGTTATTGATCCGTGAAATCAGAATCTCCCAATATCGTTCCAACTTTACTGAACTAAGCCAGAAGGACCGTCTCATTTCATAGACCGCTCGGTTTGCTGTTCCTTCACTTATTTTTATATTTATATACATTTAGTTTGGACGAAAACTTAGCGTGAGGAAAGACAAGTGTGGCGTGAGTGCGTGAGATATGGGTTAATTGCGTGACTCTCACGCTCAATGCGTGAGTGTTGGCAGCCCTGACTGATGCATCTATCTAATTTAGCTAGTGCTAGCTACAGTGGGAAGACAAGAGAAGAGCCACCTACCAAAGTCGTACAAGGTTCTTGTTTCAAGGTCTAACTATTATAAACCCTGGGTTAAGGTTGAGTTATATGTCTTTTCTTCAATTACATTTCTGCAAAAAGTGATTCATTGCTGTTTTTAGTAATCCAATGAGTTTACCACGATCAGGACGCCTGCTCTTTATAATCTGCACAAAGGACTCACTGACAGACGGGAATAACCGTTTATATACAGTCTATGTGGTGAATACGTGGTTGAAATACGGTATTGCATTCACTGGGCCGATGATCTATGGCAAATAACACGTCATGAATTGTCCTAAGCAAAAGGCACTTCTGAAACACAGATGTGTCTGAGTGGAAAATGTTTCAGTATAAACATATGTTGAGATTTGGATTTGACTATTGGGAAGTTCAAGGCTTTATGACTCCAAAAGTGTCACGCTAAAAGAAGAAGCGGAATATGGAAATAAATGACAGAAAGCCCTGGGTTTCACAGGTTTTCAGTTTAAGTCAGAGTCCAAGCAATATAAACATTGCTACAGGTGATGGCTCTTTTTCATAATGCGGTATCAATACCTGTGTGGTTGTTCAATCGACTCTCCAGCATAGTCCTGGTGGGGTCCTCTGATTCCCAGGGGCCCTGCCATTGTGAGCAGGGACGGTCCTGGCCTGGCCCATATCATCATAAACTGTCCACTTGGTTAGCTTCTCCACTGTTTGGTGGGGCAACAGGTTCTCAGCACGCAGCCAATCCTGATCCCACACACAGCAAAGAAAGAAAACTGATCTCATAAGAGTCTTGAATCGCGCAGATTGACCAAATGTTGTCACACACCCTCTTTTGTTAATTATCTATGACTTGCACAAAGTGACATAGTGAGGTTTTTATATTCAAAAGTGTCATAACAGAGTTCTAATGAAAGCCCCACCCAGAAAGTGACACGTACCTGAAGGGGGTCCCCACTCATCCGCGGGGTTACCTGCCCAGTGCACCTCTGATTGGGCGGTCGTATATATACCACCACCCTCACCAATCAGCTGGGCCACTTTCCCTGTCGGCCTCTTCTTCATACAAGGACCGGACACCTGATATCACTGCACCTGCCATCCCCCATTTTGAAATTGAGTGGTGGACCTGGGAATCCCAGCTGCAGCTTCTCTCTCTCTGGTCTGGCCCCTTGACCCGAGTCGACCACCATTGATTGTTCCCCCCTGACAAGGACATCTTAGTCAGGTTGATCTTGGAGGGGTCCAGTTTTCCTCTTGCAGCCTGTAGCACCATTCACTCCATCTTGATTGTCTAGGACTGCTCTCCTGTTTCTATCCTCAGTGTTGGATGATGCCTCCGGTACACCACTGGACCCAGGGCTCCTCTCTGACGCATCGGTACCTGCCAGTAACGCTCCAGGCAAGGTCTTCTTGATGGACTTCAGGAGGCTGAGATCTGTTTAACAGGGAGCACCAGCCTGGCACCTGGTTTTGGGGGTTTTGGCTGTGATGTAGTGGGTTCCCCTGGTGGTCCAGTGGCACTTGAGGCAGTAGCGGGTCCAGCCGCTGCCTGGGGCACGTTGGCTGTCTTTGCCTTGCCCAGGTTTGTTCATCCTGGGGAATACCACCGCGTATTTGGCTTCTACTTCTTTCTCCCCAGCTTAGGGACCGCATCCTCCCCTCCGTCCCCTGCATTTTCCACGAGGCTGGAAACTCTCTTTACCCATTGTGTCCACAGAGGAACTCTTTTTTTTCTGACTGGCCAGGCTGGTTTACTGGCAACTCTCATGGCCATCCTATGTTTGAGAATATTGCCCTTAGCTTTTCTGGGCCCTTGCTTCTGTTTTATGGTCCGAAAGGATAGCCAGTGGGAAAAACCGATGGCTTTAGTCCAAGCAGAAAGCTTCTTTTTCATGTTTAACCCCCGGGGCATGTTTTCTGAAGCCAACCAGACATTCGTGAAGAGTGGTCATACCTTTTCTTCGTGCTATCAAACGTTCCATGGGTCTGCTGGACCCCACATCAATGGCCTCACTCTCTGATGAATCCTCTTCCGGTTTGGATAACATCTTATTTGCTTTATGCTGGAGAGATGACATCTTGACTTTGCCCAAGAGCAAGCTCTGTGGAAGCCCTTTGACGACACGTCCAGCGTCCTGCTGTTCTTCCACCTTCAGAATGTTCTTGAGGTCTTTACCTTTATCTTTGAGAAGCATCATTCGGTTTTGGCCTTTGATGGCTTTGGTCAATGTAGATTCAGCCTCCTCCTCCTCTTCCTCATCTGGGTCAGTTTCTTCAGGACCATCTTTCTCATGAGTACTTTTTCTTTTACCTTTTGGTGATTCAATCTCCTCCGTTGCAGAACTGGGTTTTTCCTCTTCTGTGTTTTAGTCTTTTTCTTTTCCTTAGCTTTTTGTTTGGCTTCCTTTTCTAACCTCTTCTTCTCTGCTTTGGCTCTCTGTTTCTCCGCCTTCTCCGCCTGCTTATCTGCCTTTGTTTTTTTGTACATCTTGTTTTTCGGTCCTTGAGCAAGCTTCGAGGGATGTGGAGCCTGTCTGCGTCGTCTGCCGCCTTTATCAGACTTGTCCTCATGGGTTATCTCGTTTTCCTCGCTCTCATCATGGGATAGCCTTCGGACATACTTTAACTTCCTTCTCACTCTCCTCTTCTTCTTCGCTGGATGTGGCCAGTTCACTTGAAAGACCTTGTCCGATTCTTCGGTCTCTGTCCGGCCTTTATTTCTTTGAGTATCTAACGCCTCAGCCTCCTCCTCCTCAATGCTGTCCTCACTCCCATGTGTCTCAGATGGCTCTTCGTTACTTCCCTGCTCCTCGTCTTTCTCATTGTTACTAATTTCCTCTTCAGTGACCTCCGCTGAGTCTTCTGTATCACTTTCAGAGTCCTCCTCCTCACTCGCCGACACGTTCCTACTTCTCTTGTTATCAGGCTTAGGGGGGAGTTTCTTGTTGATCCTTCCTTGTATAGTTGCTTTTGGTAAGGGCTTGAGTTTGGTGGTCTTCTTTATGCCCATCTTACTATCTTTGTCATGTTGAGTTTGTGATGTACTTTTTGCAGTTTTGCCATTTCCTAGTGTGCTCCCAACTTGTTCTTTTGGTCCTGTAATTCTTGTTTTACTGTGATCTATTTTATGGCTTCTGTGGCTCTTCACTTCCAATGTCTTGCCGTCTTCTAGAGCTGGTAAATCCCCTCTAACTCTTTGTTTCACATTCGGCTCTTTAGAGGGAGCATGTGATGCTTTGGGAACATTCGGTCTCACATTTTTCTGCTGACTTTCTTTTTTTTCCTTCTGCTTCGTTGCATGTTTTTTACCTTGGGAGTTCACCTGTGACATGCTATCAGTTCTTCAGAGATGAAATGACCTAGGGTACAAACATAATATAAATTGTATTTATTTTGTCATTTCAAGTGTTGAAATCTATCAACATACTTTGATAAATAAGTGAGCCACTCAATAAAAAGAAAGATTTAGGACTGTAAATTGAGTAACACGTCTGTCAAACTCAGTGAAACCAGGTCCTTGGCTCAATCTATCAGCATCTAGACCAGGTTACACACTTTAAGTCCCTGATCCTCGTTCTGAGGTTAAAGACACCCAGGTCAGACATAGTTTAGCCACTACTGAGATGATAAGCATTCTGACAGTTATTGCCAAGCTAAGTATGAGTGCAACAGTGCATCTCCATCAACATTCATTTAAGAATACGACAGCAGCTATGACTCTTTTCCATGCTGGATGATAACGACTCTCCGTTTCCTTTTATCTGCATGTTAAATCTAAACGGCAGTGAAAGGCTATCTGTAGATCCGTCTAAATGTAGTTGTATAGCCTGTGCGTCCGGGGGGGAAAGCAGTGAGAGCTCATTTCAGTGTGATATAGCTTACCAGGCTTCTCAGGTGAAACCCAGGCATGGCTGGGGGGCTGCAAAGTGCTCCGGCTTGTCCTCAAGAGCTGGTGTCACTGATACAAACATGCACCCAAGATCAGGAGCACTGAAGGGAAGTCACACACCAATATCCCACCCATTATACAGAAAAGGCATGCAGCCAAATATGTAATACACACCCCCAAAAAGTTTGTGCGTGGTTTTTGCATAAACACAATGCTCCTGTGGACAAAGGTGAGCTGGCGCGTGAACACACAAGGTGCCTGCTGAATAATACAGCTGTACCTGGTCATACTGCTCTGCTGCCGCTCATGAGGCTGCAGCTGAACACTCCGGAGGAAACGTTACTACCTATTTTTCTATAAAGTGAAGACTTGTTTACCTACTTTGTATACATGCTCTGATAGAATAACTGTATGCTGTTGAAAAAACCCAATAAACAAACTTTAAAAAAAAACTGGTTGTGATCAATCTGCCATACAAAGTTAAAGGGGCACTATAATGCCTATTTTCAGGTTTCATGTTTTTTTGTGTCTCTACTGTGACCATCTCCATGCTTTAATGTTCAAAAAGCTCTTTATTTTTCTCGTGCTGCAGCACCTCTTTTCACCCTCTGTCTGAAACCAGAGCCCAGTCTGCTCTGATCGGTTAGCTAGCCGGCTCTGTTGTGATTGGTCAACCACTTAGAGGTGTCCTGCCTCTTAGCCTATCACTTACAATGTGTTAGAGTGCTAGCCAATAGAAGCCTGAGTGTTACATAGTGATGTCACTAGTAGTAAAACAAAGGAGTCCAATGGAGGCGTTTCAGGCAGGGGAGGGAGTGTGTGTGAGAGAAACTCCCCCTGGAGGGAACACAGGGATTTTAGCCTTTGCAGACCATTTACATACACACAAACCTATAGAACACAGGGGAGAGAGAACTAAGAATAGGGCATAAGTGATTTCTATTGATTTACTTTTAAGATTTTCTTTAAAAAAATAAATGTACTTTAACACATTGAACTCCCCCCCTTAGGGTCAGTCTTAGTGTGGGAAGTACAGAGCCTAGCTTAACCCACTGGAAGGGGACAGAGCTGGCCATAACACATTAAGCTCATTACCAAAGTCCAAGGTACTTTGGCACCACTTAACATCTTCAGGTTGCTAAATGATGATGAGTCATGTTGCAGGGTTGTCCTCTCACAGAGCTGCTGTTAGCGGGCAGGTCCTCAGAGGGATCAGGTTGCAGCAAAGCCACCAGGCAATTAGAGGACAAAGCGCCTCTTTCTATAATGGATGATCAAAACTATTGGCCGTGCATGTATGACAACTGATCCTCTTTTATCCACCTCTGCTCAATAAGACCAAGATTACAGCTGGGCTTTATGAAAAATGCGCAAATTAAAAACATTTGGGAACATAACCATGTGGGTTGGGGATATCATTATTTTCATAGAAACACAACTTTTTGCTGTGCAGCAGAGGTGGATGATGTGGGGAAAGTGGTTACATAATAAAGATAGCAGTGTACTTAGAAAATAAACACAGACACATTCATTCTTGGGAAAAACATGTAATGATAATAATCCACAAGAAACCTGTAGTGTGAAGTTACAAATAAAAAAAAATTAGGGTTCTTAATCAGTTCACTACAAAAATATATTCTAGGCTGATGCTAAATACCCAGCATTCTGAGACACAGTACCAAAATATTTCCTTGTGATCTAAATAGCAGCCAACCCCAGTTACAACAGGCCCACAGGTACAGACTGAGTCACATACAAACTGTATATATTAAAACATTTCACTAACATAGCTTACAATTACATTCCTAAATTACATTATTCATTTCTGGCATAAAAAATTGTTTACATAAAAATAATTAAAAACCAAACCCCATAGAAAGCTGTTCCCCCAAAAAAGCTACAGCACTGTGGGCTCCGCACTGTGGACAAGTACCTACGGCCGGTTAGAAAGGACAGAGTGGACGGGGGGGGCTATGTCAGCAGTATTTAGGGGACATTAGTCTGTAAGGATGTGACTCATTCATGACTGAGAAACTGAAATAAAACAGCAGTGCGGCTCAATGTACAAAAAACTTTTCTTTTTTCCAGGGACAAAACATTTCCCTCCGATTAGCATTGAAGCCCATTTTTACCACAACAAAAAGAGGGTGTAAGGGGGAGTTTAACATGTATGGATTCATACAAAAACAACAGTTGATTCAGAATGAAAGGATATTAGGTCAAATTTAGTCAACAAATAAGAATGAGATTTACTAAAATAAGTATTTAAAATGTATCAAATACTTCAACATGAAGATATTACTTTTAAAATGAACTCATTGTTGAACTGAGTCTAAAATATGACAGCATCCAGATTTGACTTCATATAAAAATATTTTGACAAAAACAATTCCTCAAAGTCATAATTTATCATAGTATCTCGTAATATTGACTTGTAAAGTGTTTTTTTAATTAATTGTCATGCCTAACGTATCATCTTTATCTGTATTCTCAGATAAATGGGCTTCCACAGTATAAAATCAGGCACAAATCACATAAAACTTGAGCTGTAAAATGAATCAGCATTATTCAGATCCTCCCCCACACTCCTTCCAGCTGTGTGTGCTGAGGGTGGATGAAGGCAGGTGAGACTGCAGCTGATTGGCTGAAGAGAAGGCTGCTGGTGACAGGCTTTAGAGGAAGTGGCTGTGGTCAAAGTCAAAAAGTCACAAAGCTTCAACATCTATGGCAGGCTGGAGGTGGTGGCGTTGATCTTGATGTGATGGTGGCGTTGGTCACATGTCAGGAATGTGCTCCATGTGGCTTTGGGTTGTGACCGTGCTGTGAACCGGGGTTACAGCGGGGTCTTTAGGCACAGGCGGTGTCCCCTCCTCCACCCTGTCTGCACCGTGAGTCAGCTCCACTGCCAAAGCTCTCCACCAGGGGCCGTGGAGGAGCTGCTGGGGGGGCGGTCAGTCACTGGGCCAGGGGTCAGGGGTCAGTAGTGGTTGTGTCAGCCGAGGAGGACTGCAGTCTGCTTCATACACATCAAGTCAGTTCACTGTGAGGACACAAACACACCATGGTGACTCAAACATGGCCGCCGAGTGCGAGCACCACAGGTAAAGAGTTCTCTGCTTCAGGCTCACCTCAGCTGTTGGAGACGTCTTTAAGCTACAGCACTCTTCACATTATTCTCCAGGATCGACCTGTAGCAAACACACCATAGAACCCATCAACACCGCTGTTCCGTAGTTACTTTAGTTTGACCTAAACTGATCATTCTTTTTGCAAATGATATTCCTCATTCATGTAAATTACAAATGGACAGCCATGGAAATATGTGTTGCATAATTTTAACTAGGTGTTCAAAAAGTGCCTAATAAGGCGCACACACATGTCACTATTCCAGCCAAGAGTCTGTACTTAACCATGTACAGCACTTGTAACCCTTACGTGACCATCACTTAATGCTAGAAAACTATCACTATTCATTAGTAGACCATAAAAGGTTGTTTTGCTGCCAAATGTGTCTGCTAGATACATGATGTTGCCACGGGGCAGGACAAGCTTTCAAAACCAAATGTACATACTATAACCTCGAGAGTGTCAATAATAGAGCAACACTTTTTATATTACACAGTAATGTAATGCATTATTATTATATTGATAAGTGTAGCCTTAAACTTAGTTAAAGATTGATAAAAGATCATAGCACATGTCTCAAAGTTACATATTTGGGTCATGAGGACAAAGATACAACTAAATACCATGAAAAGAATAAAGGAACATTGCATTATGACTTTTTACTCATATTTCCATTGCTAGTATTTCACATTTTACCTTAAGTTTAAATCTCTTGGTGGGATACATTTTTCAAGCTTTGTTTAACGCATGACACAACTTATCATTTATCACTATAATGACAAGCAAATGTCAGTGAAGTCTTTCCCTATATTAAAAAACGATTTGCTTTAATACAAATGAGAAATAAGCCATGTCTCACACATACGTTTGGTCTCCTTCTAGTGACTTCTGGATCTCCTCAAGTACTTCTGCAAGACAATAACACACAAGTGTAACTGAGCAGTGTTCTCAACAACACTGTGCACTTGAAGTGAGACCTGTAGCAGCAGACACATTGAGATACAGCTAGCAGCGATCAAAGGGGGTTACAGGAATCATGCGCTGGGATGATGTTTGGTAAACACTGCTGTGGGTGTGTCTGATGACGGGGGAGCAGAAAGCTGAAATACCGGTTAGGAGAGGTGGCACATGGTACGGTTACAGCTCAGTCAGACTTTAAGGGTTCAGATACAGAAGTATACTTCATAAAGTCCTTTGTCTCTAGTACTCACTCTCGTCATTCAGCAAAGCATGCTCCATTACACGTTTAGCTGCACTCTCTGGAACACAGGCAGCGGGCAGAACAACGTCAGTACAGTCAGCCACAGATAAGGTGTGTGTGTAAAAACAGACGGACAGCACAAGCACAGAGTTAGACAACATGGAACAACATGAGGACATGTAGTGTTCCCTCAGCCAGAGACACATGCATGGTTCAGAATGATGCTGTTAGGAAGACTGACACTTTACCTGCATCCTCACTGTCCTGTCTGGCGTTTCTAGAAGGACAAAGAAGACATCGACTCAATGGTACTAAAAGACATTTGGAGTTTGCAGAGGCAAATATGAATCACAGGAAGTACATACCTATGAGCAGATGAAGCTCCGTCAGGTTGAGGCCTGCGTTGGGTGGAGGAATGAAGAGGAACCTCCACCAGGCAGCGGGGTTCCACCACGCAGCGGGTGGACACAGAGAAGCGCTCAAACTCAGATGGAGAGATCAGGTAGAAGCCTGAGGGACGAAGACCGAACACAGAGTTACAAGAAACAGAGATGCATTGTTCATAAAGATCTTAATGTTTTGAAAGACATTACAGCAAGGAGGCTCTACATTAGTTCCATTCTTCCAGACACTGAACTGTGTGCTGACAGAGACTGACACCATGAACCCGCACAGTGAAACAGAAGTTTATCAGCTCAGGTTCACATCAAAGACAATCGGAGAATTCAGTTTGTAACTGATTATATAAGAAACTTATTTAACCACTTTTATGTCAGTGTGCATTAAAAAAACATAACGTAAATATATTTAATTAAAGCAGCTAAAAAATGATTAGTTTATTTTGCTGTAATGTATGAAAAAAACTAAAAAAGTAGCATGCAGTTGGAAAATGCTTTAGAACTAAATTATTTAAAAAAAGCAATGGTTGATTATGCTTGATCACCATTAAAGATATAAGCTATAATATTACAGTAATTTTTTTGCATCAATAAAATATATGAAATGTGTCTAATTTCTTTATCAGTATTGTATTTTAAAAATAAATGTAACTCATAGTAATAAACATGAGTTTATGGTGTCTTTACTTTACGGTACGAGCACAACATTATAATGAGTGTATCCAACAAATAAACTGTACCAGTTCTTGCCAGTGTGAAGCCAGCGTGAGTAAACACTGCGGCCTGTAGTTGAATCAGTGAAGGTCCTAAAACATATACGCGTGTGTCTTTACCCTGGCCATGCTTGGTGAACACACAGGAAGCGATGCCGCTGACGTCCTCCCTCCGGACACAGGGGTAATGGACCTGCATCTTCACGTTGGGCAGGGACACCACGTGGACGTCGCCCTGATTGGTCAGAACCACCAGGCCGCTCTCACCGTAGTCCTCTGAGCGGCTGCTGCCGAACCAGGATACGCCCACCCGCCGCACTCTGGAGCCGTCCACAGCCGTCAGCTTCAGCTTCATCTTAGCACTCACCTTTGGCAGCGTGAACATCTGCACACGGAAACACCGGCAGATTAATAAATGTCCATGTGGACATTTATTCTCCGGAGCACTATTTAAACGTTTTAAGATGCTGTTCAATTGAAATCTGTAACATACTGCATCATAATGATGTAGTGCTTCCACTATACAGATTTGATTTAAGATCTCTTTGTGTGACTTCACATCTGAGTGCCAGTGTGTGTGTTTGTATGTGCTATCCTGACCTTGAACTGCTCCTCAGAGATGACCATCAGGTGGTGTGAGCCCTGCATGTCAGGTGAGCGGGCGAGGTCGTGAGCCACCTCGAGGGGCTCGGGGAGAGGGGCCCCGTGACCGTCCAGCACCACGATGCCAACCACAGGAGCCCGGTGCATCAGCTGGATCTCCTTAGCTGGAAGAAAAGTACAACTTTACAACCTGAGGACTGAGAGGAGACGGCATTCTTCCCAAACATCAAAGCTGTTGCTCACCCGGCTGTGCAGTGACCGGCTCCTCTGCTCTGTGCTCTACAGTAGGGAGGCGGAGCATGTACGCAAACACGCAGCCACCATTGGTCCCTGCCCATAGGGAGGGAGTGTTATGTGAACCTAGAACAAAATGCAGAGACATGTGAGAGGCGCAGTGCAGTACATGTAATTGTAGTATATGTATAGGTGGTGTTACTCACTGTCTGAGAGGAAGGTGTCTGCGAAGTAGATGGTCCGTACGAGGCCGGTGAACGAGTCGTCTGAGGAGCGGGCCTCGATCTTCCTCTGGACAGGAGCCAGCTCCATCTCTGCCAGCTCAGCCTCCAGACGGGCGTTAGCCTCCTGGAGCTGCTCAGAGAGGAGACAGAGAGAAGGGAAGATTTGAGGGGGCGAGTCCTGCTTCTGTTGGCTGACAGCGATCAGAGCAGCGGAGCGTTAGCTACCTTGTTGTTGTTGGTGACGTGATGTTTCCTTAGCGACACTCTGCTGCGTCTGATTCTCCTGAAGGACTGTCGGAGGGATTTCTTTATGCTCTTCACCCGGGACAGAGGACCCTCCATGGCCAGCTGGTCACTGGGATTCAGGGTGCACCTACAATAAGACAATACTGAGTTAGCACATAAATGTTGATGTACACATTTCTTTTATGATTTGTGGGGCTTTCAAGTGCATGGCAGAAAGCACTTGAAGCCCCAATACACCCCCACATCAGGGTTTCCGCTAGGATTTTTTCTCGCCGGTCAAATGTCCGGGCAGAATTTATTTTATCGGACACATTTGAAACTTACCGGTCATATTTCAATAATAATAGTAAGAGTTGTGTAGCAGAGTTTCCGTTAGCAGGTAATTACCGGACTATGAGCAGATATGCTTCAGTTTAAAACTCAGTACACGGGGCTCATTTTTATATTGCTTCAGTTTATAATCGTAACAGATCAACAAATTCAGATTCATTTTTCAATAAATGATTCCACAAACAACATAATTATTACATTCAAACAAACTACTTGTAGTAGATGAAGTACATTATTCAAAAGTTTACATTAACTTTGAATAATAACACGGGAGAAACGGATGCTCTCTTTTCCCCTCTCCCTCCCTCCCTCTCTCCTGACAGCCCGTCAGTTTCTCAAGCAGCTCGCTAAACAGTGGGCGGGGCTTCAGGTGATTATGCAGAGCTGCGTGTCTCTGTCTGACTCAGCAGCTGATCTGATCTCTCTCTCGGGTCCGGTTACACTTCACTCGCGTTTATGTCCATATCGATCAGATCCAGCTCTCCTGATCGGCCTTTATAGAGAGCACCGATCAAACTATTAAGAGTGAATATCGGCCGATAATGACCGGCGGCCGATCTATCGGAGCCTCCCTAATTATTACCAGACATTTTGACCGGCAGGTTTTGAATTTACCGGTTTTTAATAAATTTTACCAGCTAAAAACCGGTAATTACCGGCTAACGGAAACCCTGCCCCACATCCACATTGATGCTTTCTTGAGCGAGAAACCCTGTACCAATTATTTAGTGGGTATATCTCCATCTGCTCCAACCATCTTCTGTGTATGTAGATGCTGCGTTTGCAAACACTCACGTACAAAATGATGATTCATAAGCTAAAATAATGATCAACACACTGGTAGCTCTGCCCATGTGTGATACAACCACATATGCTTACGGCTTGCCAACACTAGAATGTCAAACTGCAGAAAAGCAGAGTAAAGACTCAGAGTATAAAGGTGTGCAACAAAGAAAGAATGCACATATTTATGTCAATATATAAAGCGTTATTTATCTCTGTCTCGCTTCTAAGGAGTGCCATATGTTGACCTAGTGTAATCCAAGTCCTTTGGCATGTGATAGAACATGAGATATGCAGCTCCTAAAAACAGAGAATTCCTAAAGGGTGTAAACCTAATCATAAATCCATCTTTATATCTCTTTCTGTGGATCTCCTTACTTAATGAGGACGTTGTTCTTCTGTTGGTAATCGTATAGACCAAAGCCGTGGCTGGTTCCAAAAGCTACCAGCTTCCACTCCGAGTGCAGGGTGAGGGCGGTGACCACAGCAGGGGGCTGACACTGCACCAGAGCAAAGGGCTGGAAGCCTGGAGGAAACAGAACAGGCTCCTCCCGCACATCCAGCTGAGTGTGGCCCTAAAGCACAACAACAAACACACATCGGAAAATGTAACAAGGGATGTAACAGGAGAGAAATGCAGCGTTCCAAGCACCGCAAGGTGTTACAGCTCTCAGGGAGTGCCAGGTAAAGCATTACATCGGTGCAGCAATGTATTGGTTTTGGCAGTACACTGAAATATACCTTCCAGCGGAAGCCCTCCTGGCCCTGCAGCAGGTCCACAACTTTAGCCTCCACCGTCTGCTCCGCTGCCTCGTCATTCAGCTCCAGCATCAGGATCTGGACACAGACACAGTGGAATACAAGGGATGAAGCACAATACACACTCCTTCAAAACTCATATCCAAACAAGGTGTCTGAAAAAAACCAACTCACATTCTGGCAGCTACACCCTCACCCTATAATCCCGCCTTACATGTTTGTGCATTGTGTAGATGTTAAGGGTTAGTAATGTGAACAATAAATAGCAAGCTATGCAATCATAGCAAGTGTATCTGACTGACCTCTCCTTTTTCTAAACCCCAAACAGAAGTGCACATGAGGAACCATCAAGTTCCCTCTTGATACTTCATCAAATGCTATTAGAATAAATGTTCTTCTTTGTTCCTTTTAGAGAACTCTTAAATATGTATTGATGGTAAAGGAATTATCCTTCAAATAAAAAGGAGGGGAATCATCACTGAAAGCCCCCTCCATTAGAAATGTCCGTGTCATAGACTCAGTCATTACGAAGGTTCACAGCACAATGTGTAATGTCCCCTCAATGCAAAGAGCCCTTCACAGATGTGAGCATGAGTTCATGCAGAGTGACACTGAAGGGGAGGGAGAGCTACAGTAGTGGGGAAGAGAGTATAAATGAGTTGGTGCTCAGCAGTGATCTCACCTGTCCCGCAGTGCCAGCCACAGTCAGGTAACCACTGTATTTACAAAGATGGATCTTCTGCACGCCGAGCCTCGGGTCATCGCTGTACGGGTCAAAACAGCCAACCTGGACAAAAGAGAAACATTAGAAGAAAGACAGCAGCTCAGTTTGTACTGGTATACAAGAAAAGGAGGCAGCACAAGCAGAGATATCCTGACTTTAAGACTTAAGCACGAGTCAAGCTACTCTCTGCAAGCTATTCTGGATCCTTCATTTCCCATGACGCAATTCTAATGAATAATAAACACCTGCACATTAGCACCTACATTTCAAGTATGTTACTCATTGTTTTAAATGTCAAATACGATTTATAGACAGACAATAAAGAATGGCACATTTAGTAGCCAGTTGCTTTTACACTGTAATGTGATTGGGACAGTGCATTGACAATATCATTCTTTATCTGAAATGGTAGACAGAACATCATTACATGACATGTCACTTGTTATCGCTTTTATCCAAAGCGACTCACATACTGAATACTGAGGGCGATCCCCACAGGAGTACTTTGGGGTGAAGTGTCTCCGGGACACAACGACATGCTGACTGCAGTGGGGTTTGAACCTGTGCCCCCCTGATCCCAACACCAACGCACTAACCCACTGCACCACACGCCTCCCAATAATATCCATATATCAAATTGTGCTTGAAAGCTCCAGGGAAGTTTTTTAAGAAGACACTTTTTAATCAAACCATTTGAAGTTTTGTGTAAGGTTGCCACATTGCATTTTAAAGTGTATCCACAGACAACATGCACTTTTATTCTGGTTGTATAATAGATACACACACACACCTTTCTGAAGGGCGGCCACTCTCCCTCACTGCCCTGGTTCATGTTGTCATTGGGGTCAGCGTCTGTGTGGAACACTCCGGCGGTGCTTAACTTATACATGGGGTACAGACAGACACCTGATGCATCCCAGAAACGCACCGTCCCATCCTCGTGCCTGTACACACAGATAAGACGATATAGTTACATCTGTGACAGGAACGTTGCAAAGTTATTTCTTCCAGAGTGCAGCACTGACCCTGTGAGCAGCAGGTCTCTCTGTGGGGGGTCGGGGGCCAGATTCTGGCCTCCTGTGATTGGCCACGGCTGCATGGAGAAGGGAAATGAAAGTTTAGCAATAATACCAACCTGTTCACCCACAAGTGAAGGAATGTGTCCATATTCAGGATACAGCATACTGTATATATTAAACAGCTTTAGAGTTTGAGGAGAGTCACATCAGCTTTAGTTTCTGGGGGATTGTTACGTGCATGTGTCTCTGAGCAGAGCAACATTCATATAGCTGTGGGGCTGTAGGGTTAGCATTGTTCTTTCTACAAGATTTGTTTCTCATATTCGTTTTAAAAATCAAAAATGAGGTTCCTTGTGATTAGAAGGCGTACCTTTTTAGAGTAGTGTGTGCTCTGCAGGTCTCCCGCAGCGAGGACCCTCTCCCACAGTTTGAGGGGGATGGCGGAGACGTGGTGGGAGCAGGTGATGGCTGAGCTGTGGAGGGGCACCAGGTACGGGGTCTGGATGACCGGCCAGCCCTCTGTCAGTAGGTCGATCACTACCAGCTCCTCCTCCACCAGCACCACCAGCGCACTGGGGTCTCCTGCAGGGGGCAATGATGGCAGTTAGATACCAGGTACACTGTACACTAGACTTTTCTCTACAGTGCTGTGACACCGTCTGAACACTTTCTGGGGTTGTAAACATCTCTTGCAAAAACTGAAACAAAAACTGAAACAAAAACTGAAACAAAAACCCACTTTTGAATGACTTAGAATATATCTGTGTTAACATTAAGCAATGTAAAGCTGGTTGCCTGGTCCATGTGTAATCAGAGCTGACAGGTCTTTACGCTGCTAACCGCCTCAAAAGGTTTATAGTGCGAGCTCACATTAGTATCCTCAGTATTTGTACCTGTTACCAGGTAAGTGGGAGAAATCAGAGTGAGGGGGGGGGGTCACAGCGCCTGTAGTATACATTATAATAGTTATATTTTATACGATCCTTCTTTCTGTCTCTTTGTATGCACCACTTACACCAGGGCAAATTCCTTGGTAATAAAACAGATTCTGATTTTGATTGAATTATGAACAATGTGGTTTGTTTGAGGGTTTCTTCCACAAAAAATGTTAGGGACAGGGTTCTAACTGATATGTTGAAACAAGTTAACTAAATTGGATTCTGCTGTACAGAAGCAGGGGGTTCATTTTCCGTTTGCCACACGTCAGTTGCTGGTGTTGTTGTGTGTTGCTTGCCTGTGTGCTGCGGTCGGTCTCTGATGGCGAAGAAGTCGATGATCCTGGAGGTGAAGTCCAGAGCCACGTGTGTTTTGCCGTGGATCACTGTGATGCAGTGTCTGTCCCCGTAGCTGGCCCTGGGCATACCCCCGCTGAAGAGGAGGAACGGAGGCCTGCACACACACACACAAGCAAACACTCGCATATCAAGTTCAAGTTCAGGCTAGTATGCACAGAGATTAATATGTAACAATGGGTCACGTAACACATCTGGGAAATGGAGTTAAACATAGTGAGGATGTTAGAACCACTTTCACTGAGGGAGGGCTACACATGTCACACACACATCTCTCTGGTGTACAAAGTCAACTCACCCTTCTTCTGTAGGTAACTGAATTATTTTTGAAATGGCCTTGCATGGGAAGTGTCCTGCAGTGATAAATACAAGCCAACATTAGCTTATTACAGTAAAGAGAACGCTACAAAGAACACGTCTTTATCCTCACCATAGGGAATGTCTGACTTCTCCTCCTCCTCGTTTACGTCCACGCCACTCACCATCCACCGACAGTAACTTCCATCACTGTGTGAACTGAGAAGGTAGTCCCCATCCTCTGTCCACCACACACTCTCCAGTTGCTATAGGAAATACACAAGACAAATACCAACATTAAGCATGCTGGTTAGAACTGGGTAATACACAGCGTCACACTGAGCTGCAGGTACCTGTGTTGCGGGGATGTGCTGGACGGCACTCTGTTTCTCCAGATCCCAGATGACCATGAGACCTCGTCCGTAGCCAATAACAACCTGGTTTGGGTTGACCGGGTTCTCCTGTAAGGCCTCTACGTGTTCTAGATTCCTGCGGCCGATGTAGTCGTCCGGTACACTGGAGGTCAGAGCAAGAGGACAATAAGTGAGAGGAAGGACATGACGAGAAGAAGGCCTTATTACAGATCTGAGGGACTGAAGGTCAGTGCACACAGAGGTGGATTGTCTAATGTGTATGTAGCAGAGTTTAAGTCTGAACAATCAATACACATTTACGCAATTTATGTTTCCATTTGAAATTCAGTCAACTGCTGTGCACTTCCACAGAAAAAAGAAAAGGAATATATGAAAAGGCAAAATACAGAGTATTAAACTTGTGTTTTACAAGTCAGACTGTGTAAAGTCAGGGAGAGAGCATTGCATAAACATGCCGTTAAAAAGGTACCCACACATCTGATGGTTGACTTGTATCTGCAGCAGTTTGTCCTGTTCACTAGTTCATCTCAACATGTGCAAGCTGCCAGAAAGGCTTCAAAAAGGCCCAGACTCACTGGGCTCCATTTCAACAAGCTAAGAGCCAGACCATTCTTTCCAATGGAGAGAGCTGCTCTGTGAGCCACAACATACCCAACTCTACAGCAGCTCTTTAAGCCGAAGAGATGTAGGAGCCCAGCAGCAGCCATAGAAATATATATATATATATATATATATATATATATATATATATATATAATGCCACACTTAACTTATTAGTGCGCACAGGATATATAATTCGTTACCTCAATTGAATTAAACTGTTTCCAGCTTTTCATTATTTGTCGCTCAGGATAATTGTATATAGGAGAGTTGGCACAGCACACCCAGCTGCAGCCTCAGTGATTTCAGGCACGGACACAATTACACCCAGTAAATACCACGAAACAGGAAGGGTTAGGTTTTTTTGGGAAAATGCGTATATTTGATTAATTAATTATTCTTCTGAACAGGCAGGCCATCACTTATAGCTTCTCGCTCAGGTATTGTTCCCTCATGACTGTCTATTCTTGACAGTATTTTTAGTAAGTAACACCAACAGTTTCAGAATCCTGTAGAGAATTTTCTTCAAAAGAAACGTAGTTGTCTGGGGCTTAGTTTGTACAAACAATATCCATCACATCACATTGTTCATCACAGCAACACAACTACCTGCAGGGTTTCCCACACATAAACTATACTTGGGCGGGCCGCCCAGGTATAGTAACGGCCGCCCAAGTATATTTCGCGACCTGTTTATGTATTTTTTTATAATTTTTTTAAAATAATAATATGATTTTTTTTCGTCCGTGACCACGACGCCATCTGTGATCGATTAACTTGTGGACAATGATCCCTCGCTCTACGCCTCCTGTACCCAGCCCCAGACTGGTCCTCCCGATGGCCTGTTAAGTGGCCTGCCTCACACAGGGTGACTGGCTGTCCACGTGATGTGGCCTGCCGACATGGCCACTGTCATACAGATCATAAATCAAAGCCCTTGATTGGTCTCTGTGTGTCATTCAAGCTCGGGATAACCTCAGCTCAGGTGAGGTAAAGGACTCTCTGAGTGTTTAGATAGTTAACTTAGTCTAAGTTCTCAGTGGGTCTCAAACGGTTTGGTCACCATTTATGTAAACACATATTTCCATTTGAGCAGTGGCGAACCGTCAGGGCCTTCAAGGTATTCAGAGAATACCCTGGAACACTCAGATAAAACAAACAAAAAATCGATTTAATTATATAAATAAAATGTAAGAAAATGTATATAAAATGAATAAATGAGAATCGTATCCGTGTTGTTGATCTGTAATATTACAGTGTTACGTTGATTTGTTTGTCCTTCTCGGACCATGCACTTCGCATTTCAGTGGTTTTGTGTTAGAAAAGAAAGCAACCAATCAGATCTTGTTCTGGGTCTCTGGGTAGAATATCCTTCAACCAAGGTATTCTACATCCTTGATCGAATGCCCTGGCCGTTGCACTGAATGAGAGCGTACGTTTGGACTGACAGTTTGATCAACCAATCAGATATTGATTTGTAGCCAATGGGCGTATTCTTTCAGAGTTTCCCTCGGTTCCAGGGTATTCTAGAAGGCCCGCTAGTTAACTGGCTCGAGACAAAGGATCTAGATGAATGCGACGAAGCAATTCATGCCGTGTTATTGTTTTTAACGTTGAAATGACAAGTGCAACAGGTGAAGATGAAGTTGTTGCGGAATTGTTGTGAGTACCCTTTTCAAGACGACAATTCAGTGAAAAGACGGATATTATAATGCCGCGGAGGGGGGAAGGGGGGGGGTGTGTGTGTGTGTCTACAGAAGGTCCAGTTGTGATAGACACGGTTCGCCACTGCATTTGAGAGGGTAGTGATTAGTCAAATATGCATGAATAAATAAATAAAAAGTTAACTAGGTGAAAAAAGGCAAGATACACTTTTAAAACTTGTTGAGAGCTAAAACGTGTCCTTGCTGCTGCCTCAAAGAGAAGAAGGGAGGAGAGGGGGGAGACAGGAGAGGCTGATTCAGGAGCACAGACACACTCACAACTATAAATGAACCAAAAATAAACAAACAAGTTTCAGTGTTTTTTCATATTGGATATGTTATTGGTTATGGCCATGATTTTATGATTATTGAAATGTATACAGTTCCGTTTCATATAGGTGTTCCCATATATCTAGTCTCTTTATTTCCCCCTCAAAGTGCACCAGATTGATGAATTTAACTCAAACATTTAAAAAAAAATCTTACCGGGGGAGCATGCCCCCAGACCCCCCTAGAGGATTTAAGTCCACAGCCACTTAAAATCACATGGATAGGTTCCTAAATACATTTACCATTTGTTTTAAATAGTAACCCATGTCCATATGTTTATTTGTGGTATTATGCTGTGTTCGTTATTCTCGCGTCCAGGAGAGAGGCTTTAAAAAGGAGACCAAATGGAGTCTCTGAGAAGGTTCAAATTGTACTTTAATTAAAAAAATAGGTGCGGTAATGTCACAAGTAGAATATTGTTCAGTCAGAAAAACAGCTGTGTTCTGGCTCTCTTGAGCGAAAGAAAGAGACCACTCCACCTTTCCAGCTGTTATATATAGGCAGGGTTGGGTTGTAACGGAATACATGTAACGGTGTTACGTAATCAGAATACAAAATTCAAGTAACTGTATTCAGCTCGCGTTACATTTGAAAAACGAGTAATCTGATTACAGTTACTTTCGTAAACCTGAAGTGAATACATTTTGGATTACTTATTGGAATTATTGGTGGAAAAATATTTCCTCACAACATTTAATATTCATTACTAAAGGTACAGCCGAATCATCACAGCGCACACAAACTTTTACCGCCGCAGATGGACCAAAAAAGGGAGCGTTTGAAAAAAAAGGGGCGGGTCCGCTCAGTGAAACAATAACAACGAAACATGGAGGAACAAAAGTCTGCGTTTAAGTCGTGTGTGTAGAGGTGTGTGTGGTTAAAACACATCAGCCTGCGGTCGCTCTTTAGCCTTTCTTATGATTCTGAAGGTAAACACAGCGAAGGCGGTGCGTGAAAGGCACTGCACGCTCGTCTTCTGAGTTAACCCTCCCGCTGCCTCCTGGTGCTGCAGAGATTTCATGAAGTGAAGGAGGTGTTCCTTCTATAAAACAGCTGCGGGCAGCAGATACTGTGAGAGTCACAGACATGAATACTAGGGGTGTAACGGTACACGTACCCGTACCGAATAATTTCGGTACGGGCCCTTCGGTTCGGTACAGGTGTGTACCGAAGTGTACCGAACGAATATAACGTTAAACGTAAAAAATTGAGAACGTGAATAACTTTTTGGAAGTAATCTCAGGTGCTGCGTCGCAGCATTCAGAGTAATTTGCTCACATTGGGTTCAACGCGTCATAGAGCGAGCAAGTCATTTCATTGGATGAGAGGCATACTATGAGAGCTGGTCAGAGGGATGCGTTCAAATGTAGTCAGTAATTTGAGGAACTGTGAAAAATGTATGGCGAACGCAGATAAAGTTGAGCTCGAAAATCCTCCAGCATCATTGAAGTCTCCGGTTTGGGAACATTTTGGTTTCGCAGTTACGTACAAGGATGACGGACAAAGACAGGTGGACTGAACCAAAGCTGTTTGTCGGCATTGTTCAACTAAAATTGGTTACGCGGCTGGCAATACATCAAACTTGCACACTCTTGAAAAGGCATCACCCGAACGTGAATATCACCGGTACCAAAAGAAAAAAGACTGAAGTGCAAACCCAACTCCCGCTAGCATTTAAGCCTCCACCACTCGCAAAGAGTTCAGACCGAGCCAAAGCTATTACAAACGCCAACTATCCTTATGTTGCAATGTTAGCAAAGCGCTACCTGGCTGTATCTGCTACCTCTGTCCCTAGCGAGAGGGTGTTCTCCACAGCAGGAGACATTGTTAGTGCCAGCAGATCTGCCCTTTCGGCAAGCAATGTGGATAAGTTCATTTTTCTTTAAAAAAACATGAAAATACAATGACAAGCAAGTCCTAATGTCAAACTGGCTGCTTAGGTGCTAGTACAGTACCGTTCAAATACAGATTATTTCAGTTCATCGAAATGCTGCACCTTAATGTTTATTTTATTATATTTTGTATTTATTTGAGTGAATACATTATTCACAGTTTAATAATAATAATAAAAAAATATATATATATGTTTTGTGAAAAAAAATTCTGCTGTACCGAAAACGTACCGAACCGAACCGTGACCAAAAAACCGAGGTACGTACCGAACCGAAATGTTTGTGAACCGTTACACCCCTAATGAATACACAGATCAAGGCAGACTGGTTCACACACTCTCCTGTTTTGCCAATCCGGTGCTTAAACAAATATAGCTCTACACCCCTGGCAAACATGTCCTTAAAATGAAGTCCGAGTTCGACATTTTAATTCATGTCCTGCCAACACTGGCAGGACAGAAGGCGACACGCCCGTTCTAAGCCGTGTCCCTCACTCCTCACATCCCAAGCTGCATCCCCAAAAAGTGTATTATGTTGTTGCATCGTTTCAGATGCTATGTTTCAGTTGTGCTCTTGATAAGCCATTAAAACAGTAAAAACACGTTCAGTTTCCTTTTTGTGTCTCCTGTTCACCAAAACATACCCATCTGGAAAAAGAAAGTAATCCAAAAGTAATCTAAAAGTAATCGATTACGTTACTTTTTTAAGACACGTAACTGTAACTGTATTCGGATTACTTTCAGAGCCATGTATTCAGTAATCAGTAACTGATTACATTTACAAAGTAACCCTCCCAACCCTGTATATATATCCTCTGCTGGCTCCTCCCTGTGGGCCAGTTGGCGCTGCTGGGGGCCGGCCCTCCACGTATATAATGTTAGTTGTTGCGCATATCAGAGGATACAGACATTGTACATTCAATATATATCTAAACACGCCTTTTCTCCTCCTTAACTCTTTCATGACTTTTCATTTAACACATTCTAAACGCTGTAATCAATACTCCGAAAAATACAGGAAATCCTTCACGGCAGTTTGGTTTCCGGTCGTTCCGGATGTTGTCACATGCTACCCACATCTGTAAACAATAACGTATTCAAATAAACTGTACCTTCATTTAATATTCAGCAATAATAATATCTCGACGTCTATAGTTGTAGTGTTGAAATCAGTAGGTTTCGGTGTGCAACACTCCGTGTCATATCGCTACTAAATTCACGTCTATAGTAAATGGTATATTAGCCACATGCTAAATGCTAACCGGAGATGAAGGATTTTCAGAATAAAAGCTTAACAATTGGTTGTGCACAAGAACTTCTGGTTTTTCAGTATAAAACAGCATTTAAACTGACGGTATGTTTAAGGTACTTTATGCCATCAAAACATTGATTTTTCTAACAGTGGGTAGTAGATTTAAACTATAGGGCTATCAGGGCTCTGCCTGTACCTGTTCGCTCTGCCATCGCGTGAAGGGTCTGCTAACAAGCGACCAACAGAAAGGTTACTGTTAATGTTGTTGACATTAGTCTAATCTTTATGATAATGTGTGATAAAGGCTGGACATGATGTGCAGTGCATTGTGGGTGCTGACCTGCTGGCGACCTGGTCCAGACTGATGTTCCTCTCCTCCAGCTCTCTGAAGCCAGGCACCTCCACTATGAACACGTGTCCTCCCTCTGTGCCCAGCAGCAGCAGCTCTCCAGAGGAGTGAGCCAGCACTGCCGTCACTCTGGTCACACTGGGGGGGGCACTGAGGAGGAGGAGGAGAAGAAGAAGAGGGGTCACTTTAATGAATCAAGGACAGCTGCAGTTTGTATAATGCAGAGTTGCAGCCAACCATTATTTTCATTGTACAGTATATCAATCTGCAGAATATTCTATGGGTTGGTTTATCAAATCTCAGAGAAGTAGAAAGTAGAGCCATTTATAACCTCCCCCAGCCTGAGGTGAGGTGTAGTATTCATATAGCGTGTTTGAGAAAGAAAGAAAATGCATAACATCGGATTGATATTTATTATTAAAACTGTTGCATCACCTAATTGTTAAATGATATAGAATGTATCATTTGGGGAGCTGTGCAGTTAGTTGTTAGTATGCCTTTTTTAACAAATCATTTCAAGAGTTTAAAATCTCCATGAACTAAATCAATGATTAAATAAACTGATAACAACTCTTACTACAGTATACAGTGTTTGCTACTGTAGCCATGTTGATCCAGTGTGGTGGCTTGTGTTTTTCAGCCAGCTTCACTCTGACAAGTACCTGTAGAGGAATGGATTGGGAAAGTGTGTGTGTGTGTTACCCAGGAGGTCCAGTGAGAGTGAAGCGTCCTATCTCCAGGAGTTCAGAGAGTCCTGTGTGAGCTTTCAACGTCCACATGTGCAGACTGTTGTCATCCAGCAGCGTCACCAGTTCAACCTGCACACAAGCAGCTATCAATCAATACTGCCTGAAAAACTGTAAAAAAGGCATTTTTACTAAAGGTTAGCAATGAATTCAGGAAGGCAATACAGAGTACGCTTTAATATTTGGTTATTTAGCGCACTTTTTTTACAAGCACAATATTCAACACACATCTTACTTATATAGGGCAGCCCTATAAAGCAGCGTACTAAAAGAGATGAGCATGCATAGTATAACTATATCATAGTATACAACTCTTCAAAATATGTTCTTTGGTTTACCTGGTGGGGCAGGAAGTGCACCTGTGTGACAGCAGCGTTCTCATCATGCAGACCCATGAACTCTACACCTGGAGCTCCATACCTGAGCACTGGTTAAGGACACACTGCATATACTGTATGATGGACTCAGTGCTATTGGTGCTACAGTGACAACGGGAAGTTATAAACAGAGCACTGGCTTCACAGAGCATTCAAATGGTGACCCTGGATAACTGCTGCTGACGTCAAGTGGTTTACAGCAAGGTGAAATATACACAATATGAATCCACTGCATAAGAAGAAGAACCTGAAGAGGGGAGAAACAGAATAAGTCATATACAGTTTTAACAACTAAGGCTGAATAGTGAGCCTTTCTGAATAAGGTTGGTATTCTCAATCATATGTTTTTTTTTTTGCATTTTGTCTTTTTGTTTAAGTATGTCTGTAAGTTGTTGCTATTGTCGGGACCCCCTTGAAAACGAGATGGTGCATCTCAAGGGGTTTATCCCAATGAATATAATGTCTATATATAATAACACTTTCCCAGTGTTTGCCAGTTCCAATCTCTCATGCTACTATGATATTGCCCAGCTAGCTACCCACACAGTAAAGTGCTTTTTCATATGATAGGCGGGGTAAGGTTGATTGGATACAATTAAGTAACCTCCGAATTAAAGATGAGTCATTTACAAATATTTGTACATTTTACAGGAATAGAAAAATAAAAAAGGAGATTTTGTTGACGGTCTTTGAAAAAAAGAAAAGACCAATACTAACAACCGAGTCATTGTTTATCTGACCCTGACCTCAGTGTGGAGATCCCTCCCTGTGGAGGCATCACATCATCAAATGATTTGTGTCCTTCATGAGGACCTTCAACAGGAGCTGCTCTGTTCTCCGGCTCAGTGTGAAGCACACAGCACTTTCAGAAATGTCATTCAAACATTTCCCTTCATCTGTGCCCACAATCTGCTGTATTGTGTGAATGGATGATCATTATGAGAGGAGGTCACGCGGTTATCCAAACCAGTGTGTCTCTGTGTGAATGGGAGAGTGTACCGAGTGGCTCCGCTGCACTGTCAGTGAGCTGAACTGTGTGAAAGGCCACACAGACGCCACAGTGTGAGTGGCAGGCGCATTGAGCAACAGCGTGGGAAAATGAAACACCTGAAGCAGGTACAACCGCAGACATGGATTTAGCAGCGTCACAGCCAATCATTAGCAAGGCCTGCCTCAAGTTCAAACATGACGCTCACATTATTCCCTCACAGTATTTACACTCAGGCAGTGAAGGATACAGTTTGATGGCCCCGGAGCGTGTACCGATGGCCAGCAGCTGCAGGGAGGGACTGTAGCCCAGGGCGCTGGGCTGGTGGGGGAATCCATGCTCCACCGTCTGAGGGGAGAGAGGGGACACACAGGGGAGTGAGTGAGCGGTGACAGCAGAGACAATGTCAGGCAGGATAGAGAGGGAAGATAACAGCATGTGGACAAGAAATAGGAAGGAGAACAGGAACATGAACCCTGCTGTCACTTCCTCTGACAGGACGGTGAAATGCACAGTATTGTTCAGGTGATGCAGCTGTGCTCCACTTCTCCTTTAGTTAACGTGTTGAATAATCAAGCAGGAGGAACATAATTCATCTTAACACCACAATCAGTCAATTTTGGAATATCAATCATGCTTTGTGGAAACCAGCATTAATCACCACAATGTATTGCAACTTGCACAGTTTTAGAATAGAAGAATTGGGAGGGATGAAACCCTCTTTAATGGTCACACATGCAGAGCACACAGCAACATTTGCTCTCTGCTTTTAACCCATCCTACCACCAGGAGCCTACCGGTACCTTGGGCACCACGGCAGGACAGGAGGTGAACTGGGACCTGTCCAAGTAGCAGTCCACACGTGTTCGGGACTTGAACCGGCAACCCTACAGCTCCCAGTCCAAGCCCCTACTGACTGAGCCACTTCTACACTGTAACTACCGCGCATATGACAATAAAACCTTTGAATCTTGACTCTCTTAAATTTGACACAGTTGGCGATAAATGACTGAAGACAAACTGTTAATCCCCTGTTGTTACATTACATTGATCCAGCAGTCTTGATTCATAACAAACTTTCATGGCACTACAACGATGCCATATATACGACCATTAAACACATTTATAGATCAGTAAATCAGTAAAGTCTGATAGGTAATCAATGATTTAGCTTAAAGCACTACAATTCAAACTTTACAACGTGCTTCACAATGAAGGCTACAATTTAAAATAACACACTGAAAAATAAATAATGGCATCAGTGCATAACAAATTATGAACCCAAATAAAATTCAAAAATAGATTTCTGACAGGCAAAGCAATCCTTTAACAACTAGTGAATTTAGCTTACATTTAAAATAGGAATTCATCTTTTTAACCTACACAACTTGTAATATTGCCCTTTAAGTGTATATAATGTATCGTTTATATTTCTGGCCCCTGATGTTAGTGGCAGTGTGTAACTCGCCTTTTGCGTGTGCTGAGAGGATGCATAGGATGAACTGAATGGTTTATATTAAGCTTGTTTTTTCTCATTTTTTCCTCACTCAGAAAGAAAAAAATGTGCTCATGTAACCGTATTCTCTCACTCATTTATTTAACAGGCCAAAGTATGTGTGTAGTTGTGAACAAGCTATATGTAGACACACATACATAAAAGATAAAGCTTTGCACTATGTAGCAGCAATCACAGAGAAACAGCTCAGGAAAAAGTATGCCAACATCAGGAAGCAGTTGTGCTTCTTTAAGTACAGTTCACTTGCCTTGTTAAACTGGAAGAGTTCCTGTTTGAGCCGGTCTCTCTGGGACTCCTGGCCGTGTCTCCTGAACCTCTTCATCCTGGAGCCTGGGGGCCCACTGAAGCTCGCTGCAGGGAGGACACAGAGGGGACGGATGGTAAGAATGTTGGTCTCAGCAGGCACTGGTCTGCATTTTTTTGAGTTGCACTTTTCAAAATCCATAAATAGCTGTTCGCAAGATGGTTGATTGAGAGTTCACATGTCAATCTGATGTGATCAATTAATTTCTCCCTTGGCACACAGATTTGAATGAGCATGCTCCGATCGGGAATTTTGGGGCCGATGGCCGGAATCAGTATCGCCGATCCGATCGGGTGGGTGGGGGCTATGGGGATCTTCCATTTAAAGTGATGTTTAAAACTCAGTTAATGGGGCTCATTTTTATGGGGGTTATTCCCTATCTTTATTCAAGAGCATGGTATTTAAATTTGAGAGCATACTTTATTGATTTCTTTCACTCAAACCCTGTCTCAAATAGTGCCTGCTTGCACTTAGATTTGCTCTGCTTCTGCTCAAACTGTACGCTTGCACTCAGATATATTGCTGCTCTCAGATTTATTCTGTGCGCGCTCGAAACTTTTGTGCAACAATCCTGTCAAAATCCCTCAACCAATAGGAGGCCAGGTGTCCTTGCGGGTGCGTTTGCTTTACTTATTACAGCGTCCCGTAAGGGCGTTTACTCTTTGGTTTATAAACTCCCGCCCTCCACTTTATAACATAGCATGTACTGCACTTGTTTGATTTACAATTACCTTACATAATAGCTACGTTCAGTGGCGGACTGGGACTAAAAATCAGCCCGGGAATAAAATAAATCGTCCCTCCATTGCCTTCTGCACAGAACATAGTGCGAGGTGGTTGCTATGCAATAACAGGTGATTTTTTTTTTTCTGGAGATAGGCACTTCTCAATCCACTCCTCCATAGTAAGGCCACCCCGGAGGTCGAAGTTAACCTTAAATGTTTCCATCTTAAGCTTAAGTTAGTTAGTTAGTTTCGTGACGGACGTAATGTAACAGTTGTAACAGTTCTCAGACGCGGAGGGATACTGATTTGTAAAAAGTAACAACTATTCCCTGCTCATTATATCACGGCTAAAAACTATAGGTTACTAACCTAACCCCAGTTCTCAGAGTAACATGAAGTGAGATGTCTCACTATGGGATGCGCCTCAACGCGTATGCATCAATCTCATTACGCCAATCCTGATCGGCTGGTGATCTTGACGACTACGTCAGGGAATCCACCCACCCTTTAAGTAGCTTGCGCTACGTCGCAGTGTCATTCAAAATAAGCACCTCTTCTCGCTTCGCCTCAGCAAGAAGGGCCGTCTGGTGAGACATCTCACTTCATGTTATTCTGAGAACTGGGGTTACGTTAGTAACCTATAGTTCTCATTCATAACACTCCGTTCGATGTCTCACTATGGGATATTGAGACTCCCTTATTGCTAGACATGCTTATCTCGAAAATCACCAAAACAACCAGAACTTAACATGTAGAACCCTGTCCCAACACGGGGCCCAGCACTGCACGGGCCACACTTGGAGCAGAGACATCTAGTCTGTAAAAGCGGACAAAAGTGAGCGGTGAAGACCAGCTCGCTGCTGCACAAATGTCCAGGATGGAAAAACCCTTGAACAAAGCCCAGGCTGTAGCCAGTCCACGAGTGGAATGAGCACGCAGGCCCGTTGGTGCCTGCAAACCCTGACTCGTATAAGCCAGAGCTATCGCTTCCACAATCCAGTGGGAGAGCCGTTGCCTGGTAACGGGCTTGCAATTATGAGGGTTAGCCCAGGATACAAAGAGTTGGTCATTGCATCGAAACTCTTTTGACCTGTCCATATAGGTGCGCAAAGCACGAACTGGGCACAGAAAATTCGGCCGCTGTTCTTCAGAGGAACATACTGTAGCGGTGAAGGAAATGCCTCAAGGTCAATGGGGGTGCATGAGCCAACCACCTTGGGCACAAAGGCAGGGTTGGGCTTCAGCAACACTCTCGTTTGCCCCGGGGCAAACTGAGTGCATGAAGGATGTACAGAGAGCGCGTGAATGTCACAGACTCACTTGGCAGATGCTAGAGCCAGTAACAACACTGTCTTTAGTGACAGGTGTTTTATGTCAGCTTCTTCCAGGGGTTCAAATGGAGGTCGAGTGAGCCGATCTAAAACCGCTGCCAAGTCCCATAAGGGCACCAGTGACCTGGAAACAGGGAGGAGCCTGCGAGCCCCTTTCATAAAACGGCAGACCAAGGGATGTTGGCTAGCCATCTTTCCCTAAAAGCCCGTATGGCATGCAGCAATAGCAGCCAGGTACACTTTAATCGTATAGAAAGCTGTGTTTATCAATCAGGTACTGTAGAAATGATAGAATCACCCCGACAGGACATTGAAAAGAGATGTGTCCCTTTTGAAGGCACCACTCCTCAAACACCCTCCACTTACAGTCTAATGGCGCGTTTCCACTGCAGCGGGTAGCTCACTTTAAGCGTGCCGAGCCATGCGGGGCCCATTTTTGGTTGCGTTTCCACTTGGCCTAGTTTTGGCCCGGGGCTACTTTTTCACCTTTTTTCTGGCCCGACTAAATCGTGGTTCTAGGGCCAGGAACAACCAGGCTGAGTCGGGCTGAGTATGCTAAACTAGAGAGAGAATTGCTGGCAAGGGGGCTATAACTACAACAAGATGAACATATTTTACAGTGATTTAATTGTAATACACGTTTCAAAATGATGCCGAAGTAACAACATACTGATACCGGTTAGTAAAAACCATGAATTAATGCTTTGACAAGTCTGCAGACAGACGGCAGGCGAAAAACCCTTTTAAAATGCGTGTTTTCTAAATGGAGCTTGGCTAAGCTAACGTTATATATGCTCTGACCGTCCACACTCACAACAACGGCCTATACATACATAAACCAGTGACTGTATTCACCATGACACAGGCAGTCTGTGGTTTGTACTTGTTTAACTTTTGTCTAGTTTCTGAACAGATATGAGGAGCTGTGAGCTCTGAGTGCTAAGAGCTAACGGCTGTGTTGTTTTTCTGGGGCTCTCATTGAAGATGACGTCACGGCTCCGCCTACACTGCGTTACTATAGTAACTGCCCCAGTTCCTAAACTGTAATGGAAGCGCAGCATTAAAGTGAGGCGGGCCTAATAAGGCCTAACCAAACCGAGCGAGGCCTGCAGTGGAAACGCGCCAATAGAGAGACCTGGTGGAGGAAGCCCTTGCACTCTGAATAGTGTTTATCACCTTCTGAGGAAGCCCCACTGTACTCAAATTATACGACTCACGGGCCAGGCCCATAGTGCCAGGCGCTCTGGGTGTGGGTGAAAAATCGTCCCCCCCCCCGCCTGAGATAGTATGTCCCTGAGTAACGGGAGCTGACACGGCTGCCCACACAGCAGCTGATATATCTCCGCCAGCCAGTACATTGCAGGCCAGTGCGGAGCTATTAGGATCAGTGTGTGGCGATGTTTTCTCACTCTGGCCAGAGTTGGGGGTATTAGAGCCAGGGGTGGGAACGCGTACAGAAGGACCGGAGGCCAAACGTGTGCGAGCGCGTCCACGCCTAACGGTGCGTTTAGATCGCGCATTGAAAAGAACAGCTGACATTGAGCATTTTCTTTTGACGCGAACAGATCTACTGCGGCCCGGCCGTAACGCACCCACAGCTGACTCACAATTGTTGGATGTAGAGTCCAGTCTGCATATAGAGGTGCACCTCTGGACAGCAGATCTGCCCCGAGGTTCATCACTCCCGGTACGTGCGTCGCTCTCAGAGAGAGGAGACGTCCGCAGCTCCATAAGATCAGTTTGCGTGCCAGCATGTGTAACTGGAGAGAACGCAAACCCCCTTGACGGTTTATATACGATATTGTGGTCGTGTTGTCTGTCCTCACGAGGACATGATGTCCTTTGAGAAAAGGCAGAAAGCGTTTAAGGGTGAGGAACACAGATAAAAGCTCCAGATAATTTATGTGTGACCGTTGGAGATCTCTGCTCCAGAGACCCCTCACAGGTCGACCTTCGTATATCCCACCAGCCCGTCAGACATGCGTCTGTGGTGACCACTTTCCGCGATAGAACCGCACCCATAGGTACACCCCGTACTAGAAAAGTCGGGTGCAGCCAGTGGCGCAGTGCCATTACGCATTCCACAGTGACCATCACTCTCCGCGCGCCATGACGCACGGGGTCCAGTCTGAGGGCAGCTACCCAGCGCTGAAAATCCCTCATGTGTAAGCGGCCCAGTCGTACCACCAGGATGGCTGACGCCATGAGCCCCAGTAACCGCAGACATGATCTGAAGAGAACATATTTGCGTGGCTGGAAATGAGCGAGGCAAGCACGAAGGCTTTCACTCTCTCTGCTGACAGGCGGGCTGTAAAGGGCACCACATTTAAACGTAAGCCCAGGAAGAGTACAGTCTGGGCTGGGGACAACATGCTCTTTTCTGTGTTTATTACGAAACCCAGGTCGAGCAGGTGTTTCACGAGGATATTCGTCTGCGTAATAGCCTCCTGCTCCGACTGTGCAAGAAGGAGCCAGTCGTCTAAATAGGTTGCCAGGCGAATGCCTTGTTGCCGTAACGGGGCTATTGCTGCCTCCGTACATCGTACAAACACCCGTGGGCTGAGAGACAGACCGAAGGGAAGCACTCGGTACTCGTAACAGACACCCTGAAAAGCGAACCTCAGATATTTCCTGTGTGGATAATATATTGGGATGTGAAAATACGCGTCTTTCAGGTCGATTGATGTTAACCAATCGTCCTAACGTACGAGACGCAGCAGAGATGTGTGAGTGAGCATTCGGAATTTGTATTTTCTGAGATACTTTTTCAGAGCCCTTAAATCTAGGATAGGGCGAATTCCGTTCCCTCCCCGTTTGGGAACGAGGAAATATTTGGAATAGAAGCCGCTCTGACTCTGTTCGGAGGGTATTATGGATATGGATTTCTTTTCTAGTAGCGAGAGAATCTCCTGCTCTAGAATATGAGCCGACTCTCCCCGGGCTTGGGTGACAGCGAATTGGAGTCTGTAGCCCCGTGATATCGTTTTGAAA